TACTTTTTACACCCATCTGGACCATCTTACGACAAATTGTAAGAAAAATATCATTACACGAGAAAACTTTTAGTGGGAACTATCCAGGGCAATCTTAGCGAGGTCGGTGCTTGAGATCGGGTCCAGAGCTACGGGAGAGGGAGAAATGTCAAACTATTTGCTATAGTCTGGGTATCTAGTTGCGCCTTCTGGACCCACGGGCAGAAGCTGACAAATTGTACTCTGTCGTGATGGTACTGTCGGGTAGGTATAGTGGTAACTGGTGTTAATACTGGGTGGTGATGCTGTTCCTCCGGAGTCAGGATACCGGAACACATAATTTAGCGTGTTTCAAAGGGTGTTTCCTTCGAACGTACCTTGTGTTAATTATACCTCACTAAAACCAGGAAGGAAGGAAGGAAGGAAGATCGGGATAGTGTCACAGTGTTATCTTCATCCTTTAAATTTATTAATCGTCCGACAAGATTCTCTTGGAGGGAGATTGATTTTCCTAGTCGTAGATATCTGCAATTTAGAAATTTAAGTAAGGACCTATATCCGACAGGATTTTTTTGTTACCCTTATAATTTCAATTATTAGGATAATAAAGTTTACTTAAAAATATGGGTCCTCTCGGTACATCGTACACTTATTTATGATTATACGGCATTGTACATGCGTATCCTTTTTCTTTTTTAGACAATAGCATCCGCTGTATACGTTTGTCAGTCAGGGAACCAACTAGGCAGTCAAGGTTTTGGGTTTCGTATCAAGCGGATTTTTCTTATGCTTTTCCAAGGGACACACGGCTGTTCTGGTTTAGCTGCGTTATCCCTTCATCCGTGTTCTCCCTAAATTATTCAATTCATTCCTGCGGGACCGTCTTCTACCTTCCCGTTGTTCCCCTTTATCCCTGCTTGAAGTTTCTGAAACGGCTGGAACTCGTAACTGAAAACATTCTCTCCATATGCGGGAAAACGAATCCCACGGGGACGGCAGCACTGACGTGCTCCCAAGGAATCCCATTAAATTTCGCTATATATGCCGCGAACTAATAATCCTCGTTAAACTGTCTCTCAGGTTCTTCTAATTAGCTTATTCGCTCACTCGTGGCAAACAGACGATCGAGTTTTTCTCCAGGGTTTTGAGGTGTCCCTTTCTCTCTCTCTCTCTCTCAAAAAATTTAGAGTCCTCGACGGAATACTTTACACGAGTTGTTTTTCATTATATCACATACGTTTATATTTACATAAAAAAATCAACATATTTTTCAACAAAATCCCAGGCTCCTTCTCTGCTACTTACACCGAAGTACATAATAGCAGCTCCAGTAGAAAGGTCTGGATGGCTCTTTGCCATTGGCGAAAAAGCTTGCTTATCCTCTATCAAGGGTTCGGATGAAAAAAAATTACAGGACAGCAATATTGCTGGGTAGGCAGCTGTTCCGGGTTCTTGATTGATAGTGCTTTTGGTCCTCCGAAGCTGAACCCTCTGACCCCCAATAGTTGAACCCATTCTTAGAACTGGTCGGAGGTCCAGCTGGACCAGGATCTTCGTTCAAGGACGTTTCCTTGACACGGACCCTTTGAAGGAGCATACACGTCTACGAGGGATCCTCGTAGGAGAAACTACAAGGACTTTTTATTATTTTCTACCTGATGGAACAGCTTCCGTCTGCTCGTTCAATTCGTGACAGTGCATTGGAACTGCATCGATCCGGTAGAGATAGGTGTAAGAAGAGCATGCTTTGGAGAAGTCGCGATACGTCGCGACGCCTTAGCTTGATTAAGCGGAGAGAGAGAGAAAGAGCGACGGGAGAGAGATGCAGGTAAAAAAGAGGGTGTAAGTGTATGTCCAAGGGGTGGGTTGGAGAATACCATACGCCACGAGGACTCCTGTTAAATGTCTCGCATCTGTCTCTGGGCTTTTCCACCCACGAGCTGTCCTCCTGAAAGTCTAGAGAAAAACATACCCACGAGAGAGGGGGACTAAGAGAGATGGGAGAGAGAGAGAAAGAGAGAGAGGGGGGTGGTAGAGAGTGTCTCTCGAGCACTCGGTACTACTTTCTACTACATTCATGGCTATCCTTTCTGGCACGACCCTCTGACACCACTGGCCAACATCCGAGAAAATTCTCACCCGAGTCCACTTGGTTTCTTTCATCTCTTCCTATTCTTTTACATCGTCCCTGTACTCTTTCTTATCCTTTTTCATTGTTCTCTCCCGCAGCCGCTACCAAGAGACGGGGAGAAAGTGGCTCATTTTTTGAAGGATCGAGTTATCGTACGAGGGCCGAAAGGGCGGCTGGTCGTACAATGGGACGTAAAAACTGGAAAAATTTTTTTCCTTTCCAGGGTTCGCGAAATCGGTCGGTAAATAATTTTAAAAGTCGCAAAAGGAGGATACAGTGAGATACGTAATTTTTTTTTTCGTAAGACTGTATTTTGCAAAACAAAAAAATGTTGAAACGTCTTTATCAGTAGTCATTGCGCGATCGGGTGCATTTTTCGTTTCTATCAGTCTATTTGTGCTTTTCGGGAAAAATAAAAGAGACCTAAGTATATGGCGATAGCGTGACCTTATTTCGTGGATAGTATCCAGAGCCAGTCTTATCAAGACAAGCCTTAACCAGTGAATTCCTGTTTCTCTTCTTTCCCAATGAACTGACCAGTAGCTAGTGGTTCAACCCCGTAGCCAGTCAGCCGGCCGCTCGAGCGGACGAGAATTTTCCTTGGGTTTCAGTTTCGCCTGCATTTCTTGATCGAAATCCTTAAGCAGCCCTGAGGCTAATTTTAACTTGATGGCAACTCTTCAGCATTCCTTGCCTTTATGCTTTGCGTCTTAACGACGATCTTACAGACCTGGACACGTGATATTGTAACTCGTCGGGAGTATAGGGAAACTCGATGGAAACTCCAGACTTCACAACTCTTTTGCAAAAATCTCTACATTTTTTTTTTCCTCTCACGCGAGCTAACTTTTCCCTCAGTGGGATACGGCTCCAGTAAGGAGTAATCCACTGTGATGCCTTCCGGTCTCGCGTTTGTCCATCCCCGTTGGAATCCATTGCCGTACCTATAAAAGTCTCACAGAACGAAAGGAGACGCGATACAGAAAGGATTACAGTACGGCATCGATGCTCCGTGACGTCATCCATTAGAACCAGAAATTCCCAGCCTCCGGAGCAATGATTACGAAGCGTCGACGTACCATAATTCCATCTAAAATTCGATCCGAATCCCAAAATAGGACATCGGTATAATCCCGTTGCTTGGCGAAGCGTCGTAAAGCACGGCGAAGCATAGTCGAAGCACAGCGAGGCGTGGTGAAAGCTTGCGGACCGGCAGGAAAGCTCGATTCTTGTCGGCCGAATTAGTTAAGCGTAAGAGGCTGTGCGTGACGTTTACGAGGTGTGACGTCACGACTCGTCTTAACGATGCAGATGCCACTGAGGGATGACCTTTGACCTCTGGCCATCCAAATAAAAAATCCATTACTTTACCGCTTATTCTTGTTCTCAGTGACCGGTCAAACGTTCGTGCTGATAAATCTAAATTCTCGTATATGAGCTGCCGGCAGTGACGTCGTTCAAATGGCGATAGGATTTATCTATAGTTTGAGTAATACTAACCTAGGTCCATCGCAGCATCCCGTTCACTTCCTTGCAAAAAAAAAAGAGTTTTTATACTCTTTATTGAACTTTTTTAAGGCTGCGACGTCATGGCTTCTCTCGCTCAACCTTTTTACTTATTCTTCCTCGAATATAGACGGAAGAAGGGGGCGCCACTTGGACGACGAGACTTGCTGTGCGAACTGCGTCACTTCCTGCTCCGACGGTAAACAGGCTCGGTAGAGAAAGAGAGATGGATAATGTTGATGGGGGGAGAGTGAGAAAAGTAGATGTTCCTGGAAACACCGAGGTACAGGGAGGAAACAACTCCTAATGACATTTGCTATTGTATGAACTTTGCCCTCCGCTATCTCGACCTCTGCTCTTTGCAATGCACCCAGGAGAATTGCAGCACTGCTCATGGTCTCTGAACAAGAGCTTTCTGCTCGATGTCATCAGTACAGAGGGTACAGCAGACCGACTTTGCTGAACGAGAACCAATCTGCTGTAGCGTTGATGGTGGTTCGTTCAGTTTTCATTAATTCAACTTGCTGTTTGGCTGTACGTCGCTTTATTAATTTCAAAGGGGAAAAAAAAGGAATTCCCCTTTCTGTTTAGATATAGGATTTTTCTTGCTTGTTGGTCACTTTCTTGATACCTCGAATCTCGATAGTCATAGGAACAGCGTTGGGGAATAATCAATGGAATTCGCAAGGGGGGGTCGAAAGTTGACTCGCGCAAGCAGAATTCAGACGAGATGAAATCAGGATTGACTGGATTTAAGAATCATTAGTAGGAATGGATATACAGAGGTGGATGAGTAAGCTGATTGGACTTATTGGATGAACGTATTGCTATCTCGTGCTCCCTTTCATTTCCTGTCAGTACTTTCTGGATCGGTCGTCAGGTCGAGTAGTCGCGTTGTAAAAGTTCAATAATCCTAGAAAGTTACCGTAATCCTACGCTATAGCGATAATCCTCGACTTCTCTTCATTTATTATTCGCGAGTACTTTCTCCGTCAAAAGTTTATGTCGATGCAACTTCGACGTTTATCGTTAATAAATGGAGTAAATAAATTTTTTTTTTTTTTTTTTTTTTTTATAAAAGCCAACTTTGCTCGTTATACGTTTCGCGTATTTATATGTTTTGTTTCATTCAAAGTGCGTATGTTCGATGCTTAAATAACCTATGGCAATAATTAGATTTGCAATATTGGCGCAGGAACGGATACTGTCAAAATATTCAAATATTGTAAACAGGTTTTGAAACAAGTCTATGAATAAACCACGACCCACAACGGGACTACTGACCGCTGTTTGAATACCCTTTCCAATATTAACTGTATACCCAATCCGCCATTTTCCACCAAAGCCCTCGTGGTTTATGCATTGATTTTTCTTTTTGTTACAGGCTTCTACAGATGTTTTTCTACTTTGAAAAATACTCGATACGGAAAATGCTGAAAGCGAATGCTCGTTAAAGGTTCACCTGTACCGGTATTCAGGTTCGTAGTAACATTACTGTTGTGTGTGTATATATATATATATATATACTGTTTCTTCATACGTATTTTTAAGGCTTGCGCCTGGTTTTATAGCATCGTAAAGTAAGCCCACGGGGTTATCTTACGGTTGGCCCCTCTCATTTCTACCACGTAATATATTATAAAGCTCCAAGTTTATTGTTTATCGTGTACCCTCTTTTTGGCATATCCTACCCTTTGCCGGAGCTTCAACCCTTGCCGTATTCTCTAACGTGGTCTTGCAAAAATTTCTAGAAATGACCCTTGCGTGACTCGAAGGTATCATGGGACACGCGAAGTTCTTCGGTTATAGCCCTTCGACCTTGTTTTTTTCTTTTGTAAAATAACGTTTTTACATTCGGCTAATCGTTGCTCCGTGAAATGCCCACGTACCCTTTGACTCTTTGAGTTACGGTTCACCGGCATGCGAATTTTCGATCGATCTCGTGACAACGATGGCGTTCACTCGCCTGGGTCTGAATTTTTTTAAAATTTTTATCTTTTTTTTTTTCAAGGCACAAATTATTTTTGGCGTGCGTCGCGTACTGCATCACGTTTACGTGGAGTAAATAATTAATTATAACAGAAATGCGATATCTTTTTTACGAGGGCATACAGTGCGTGCCGGTTGAGCCCTGGTGCGTGCACAATATCTCGTAGGAACTCGGTAGCTGAAAGAAATTAAGAAAATTTGGACAATCACGAGATTCGTGACAGACGGCAATGTCTTTGTTATTCCAGTGTCGTTAATAATCTCGACGAATTTTCTATCGTGCAAATTGCGGTTCTGCTTGAGCTATTAGTCACGATTATCGTGTGGATATATCGCGCGGTCTTGCGCGACGTACGTGACCCGAACGAACATATAATAACGTGAATGCAATTACGGTACGTGAAAAATTGATGAGCCAGGGAAAAAATTCAAGATGGCCGAAAGCGTATAACAGGTGTCGAAAAGTCATCAGGATTTCAGACCACGAAGAACTGCTGGTATCCTTGATACCAAACGGGGTACCCATAAGAACGTTGATCCACGCCAATAATCCAGGACATTATTTGAATTGGAAATAAGATTCGTATTGTCGAATTCTGGACCAGTAAATATATTTGAGGTATTTTTATGACAATTCACGTGGATACTTTTACTTCATTTCGGGTAAACCACTATTTTAATAGCCATTTTCGTGTTTCTCGTAACATGCGTGTCCACCGGTATAACAAGGCACTTGTGCGTGTTGTTCTAACGGCTTGCCGGAAGGGTCTTCGGGCATGTATGGATAAGACAAGGAAAGGGATGCTGAGGGTCTTTTTGTACGGCGTCGAGAGTTCTTTGCAGTAAGGTCCCGAAGGGAGCGATATCACCCCGAGGCTTGATGATAAGAACGATAACGATCAAGCATTAATACCGCAAGGGTTGTCCAGACGAGCTGAAAGTGAGCAGTTCTTCGTCGAAGGGTAGTTACCCTTAACTTCTTTAGCCCCTGGGTGTCACCGTCTGACAGACACTAGACTACAGTATCTTTTCGTCTTCCACGTCCCGTGGACCAAACGTCTCAACGTTTCCCGTGCCCTCGCATCCCGATCATTAAATTCTTCATTGGCCAAACGCCAGCCTGCCCGTAGAACCTGAGGGTGTCGTGATTAATTCGTGAAAAGTATTTCTGTCATCTTCGAAAAGCTCAAGGCCAATTAGAGGCCTGACGAATTTGAGCAGTACGAGTCGAGGAGTTATATTAATGATAATAATTATATCTAACGATTCGTTCAGTCTCGCGGAAATCAGGCCGATTGCGATTGCAATGATTTATAAGAATATCATTGCCGTATATTCCTGTAAAATTTGTTCCCTCACGTAAAATACTTTTATAACCGGGGGAAAGCTTCATACACATGTTATACCTTCAGCTCGGTGTAATCCTTTCGTATTTCATCGTAGGACAAGACTGACCTTCATTACACGCGTGGATTTCATTACCGCGTGCTTTCTGTATTCCGCTTGTGACTCTTCGGTGAAATTGTCCTGGGACGTTTCAAATCGTCCTACGTGGCCCTAGGTCCTTTCATAAACCCTTTCGGTGTGCACAATGCACCGTAACATTTTCAGCGCCCTTTATCCCTTTTGCGAGGTGATGCTGTGGACAAAGATTAAATGGGAATAGTTCAAGGAAAAGGGGAAAAGACAAGGAAGCGAGGTTAGGTTGACTTACAGCCCCTCGACGTGTTCACTCCGAACTCATCCTTCCCATTACTTCTCCCTGTTCCTACAAATGCCCTCTGATGCTTTTGGCTGATGGAGATCCTGGTCCTTTCCGTGACATACGTATTCGTACATTGGCGCTAGGCAGGCAAAATCTGACGATGCTCGGGCAAGACGCAGACCAGTCAGGTGAGAATTCGTTAAAATTGTCTATCACGTAATGGATAGACAGATAACGCATTTGCAGTGAAAGTCCGATTTTTTTACTGTGAATTACCCACCCTTCACGGCTTGAGTATAGCTTTCGTAATTTGGAAATTCCTACCCTCGATACGTGTAGAAAGTATAATGGCGCCTTGGGGAGGTTAGGACGTTGATAGGAAAAAAAATTCTTGTGGCTTGACGATCCTTTCGATATCCAAGGGATCGTTTACGAGGAGGCTTTTCAAGGTTTCAGGGTCTACGAAGTTAAGGGTTATATGGTCGTGGGTGACTAAGGGGGATAAGAGGGTGTCTCACTTACGATCACGATACCAATTCCCCTAAGGCATCTTTTTAACACAACAGACACCTGCTTGTTTGAATTTTTATTTTCTCTCTATGGGAAGCTCGGTCACGGTGGGATTGAACTGGGAGGGTGATAGTAGAGGATGAGAGAAAGAGAGAGGGAGAGAAAGCATTGCGAACGAGCCGAATGGCATAAACCACAATTAATCCTGGGATGTGTGTTAATTGCTGGCTCGATTCTCTGTAACAGTCGATCCTGGCCGACCTCACTCGTTAACCAGTAACGATTCGACAAAGCGCTTATTGTGGTACCAAGGAGCTTTTCTTCGTCGAGTCATTTCAATCTTTTGAGTTTTCATTGAAGCGACGAGTTCCTTTCGTTTCTTCGTATTTGTTTACTTCTTGTGTATTATTGTAGATTTTTTTGTTTCCTGTTTCTGTCAAACAAGCTGATTAGTGGCTTTCGTGGATTCAAAGTGGTTGTTGTACATTTTTTTTTTTCTTTTTCCTTTTATTCGGTCGCGGAAGATGTAAAGAACGGATTGGTGTACGAGGTGTTCTCAAATATGATGGAATGCAGTGACAAAAGAACGGCAGCGTTTGTAAAAGTGTATATGACGATGAGTGCGGCGGTGCGTGACGAAGTGGATGACGAAGGGTGCTTGCGAGGGGGGGGGGGGGAAGGGGCT